TTCGACTTGCGAACTCGCCTTGACTTACGAACCGGATCCGCGGCCATTTTCCGCCCGTTCCATGTGGTCCACGGCCATTTTCTGTCCGTTCCACGTGGTCCGTGGCTATTTTTCCGCCTGTGCCACATGGTCCGCGGCCATTTTTTGCCCGTTCCATGTGGTCAACAGCCGTTTTTCCACCCTGCCGCGTGGTCCGCGGCCATTTTCTGCCCCGACACGTGGTCCGCGGCCATTTTTCCGCCCCTGACACGTGGTCCGCGGCCATTTTTCCGCCCTGCCACGTGGTCTGCAGCCGTTTTTCCGCCCCTGATGTGTGGTCCGCGGATGCCGGAATGGATTAACGGTAATTACATTGAACCTTATGGGAAAATTTGCCTCGTGTTGCGACCAATTCGAGTTGCAACCAGAGTCACGGAATGGATTAAATTCGTAACTCGAGGTTCCACTGTACTTGGCACTTGAAATCTTCTTAAAATTAGCTAAAATATTAGATGACATGTTAAGATTCCTGTGTTCTTTTCACCATTCTTCTGCAGATTTCTAGTTCTAGGCATGCCACCAGTGTGTCTTACAACAGGCAGGGTCTTGGATTTGACCCATTCAGTGCCATCCTATTCAATGTGATCTTACTCAGTGCAGCTAACACACCAGCTGCATTCAGATCTCCCAGACAATGTTTGAAGGGGAGGAGGGAGCATCAACATGACTGATACACATAGCTGAAGATAAAACACAGCCAGAAGAATAAACCACAAAACGTATTTTGTCTTCTCAGTTTCATCACTTCAGGGAACAAAAGGGGGGAGAGGGGAAGTATGTCAGGAAATTAAATGTGTAGGAGGAAAAATACACTGATTGAGAAGCCCTTCTATTAAATGAAATATTTGATTTCTTGTGTTTCTAAATTGCATTATTTATTGTTACAGTGATTTCTTTTTTAATTCAGGACCAGAACTTTCACCATCTGGCATCTACATAAATTAATTTTTCCTTGTTTATCTTTCCTTGTGCTTTATTAAATCACCAGTTATAGTGAACAGGGCTTCTTCTATTTCTTTTTTTCATTGTGTTTCCATTGAGACTTTGGTTTTCCTACCCAGTAGCTCTGGTGGAAGGGGGAGGTAACCATTTTGCTTTCTCTGTCTCTCTGTCTCATTTTGGTCATGCTTTTTTGCTTCCGAGCAGCATGCCATTCTGTTCTTTCTAACTTGCAATGTTCTCTTTGAAGTTATCATCATGCTCTGGCCCCTTCTCTAATTGTTCTCAGATTCACTTATGATCAGATTTTCTGTTTTTCAATTGATTCCTTATAGCAGCTTTATTTTTTTCCCCAGTCTTGTATAGAATAGCCTGAAAAATTCATGAATAGCAGAGAACTGTTGCGGTTTACACAAGGTCCAAGTCACTTCTGAATCATTTTTGAACTGGGCAAGGTCCAATGGCTCATCCCTGGTTAAAGCCTAACTGCTGGGAGAATATTATGGTTGGGGCAGAGTGATTTGCTGCTATCAGCAGGCTTTAAACAATCCTTGCACTTGAATTTTAGACAAGAGGATAATGAAAACATACAGGTTCTCAACATGGAGACCTATACATCAAACAATAAGGGAATGTTTCCTTGCATTCTATCTACTATCTAAATGTAGATTAAAATACATTTTAAAATATTTTTTATACTGAAATCATTTTTAAAATCCTGGACAGAATAAGAAGAAAACCAGATTACTAAGAAACCCTTACCTCTTTCTTCTTGTATCTGAGATGTGATGTTTTGTTCACACTGAACTTTGGCCTCCAGAAGAAGATAAATCTGATCCTCCATTGTGATGGTATAACCCAATTCCTCCTAATAAAGAAATGCCACACGGAAATCAAGTGAGTGATGAATACACTTCTTTGTGTATTATACAAATAAGAAGAAAAAAGCTCTCAATGGTTGTACGCCCATTCTGAAAATTAACCTTATGTATTTATTTACAGTATTTATACCCTACCCCAGTTCTAATGGACTCTAAATGATGTACAACAACATCAAGTACAAAAAACAAAAAACAAACTAAAAGCTCAGTGTAAACAGTTAAAGTAATACCATTAATGGCCAGCAATAAACATCACGGGGACCCTTAAAACTAAACTAATCTAATTGAGATTATTAAGGCATCAATCAATCAATAAATCAATCAAATCTTTACTACAGTCATAGACCCGCGTAAGGCGTAAGGCATGCTGGAGTAAAATTGCTTTAGCTTATATACAAAATGCCAGCAGAGTTGAGGCCATCCATATCTCGGCAGGGAGGATATTCTATAAATTGGGGGCCTGTTGTGAATTAATGAATATGTATGAAAACATGGTCCCAGTTATGACTTCCATACCCTTTTCTTCTTTTGTTTGAATTACCGTATCCTGGGAAAGGGAGTGTTTTTCTCCTCTTTCCATTTTGTATCAATTTCTAAAGTTAGGATGAAACGGGCATGAGCGTCTTTTTCAGCATAACAATTGTTTAAGAAAGAAGAATTTGGGGAGGGCATGCTGAAGACCCTTATTCAGGGGAAACCCTTTGCTTTCTGTAATGTTTTCATAGTTTTGTAGTTCTTTGCATCATGCAGATGGAAAGAAAGCCAATGAATTCTAGTTCTGAATTTTTAAGAGGTCCTGTTTGTTTGTGGGAGCCACTGCTAATTCTCCCAAACATTGTTGGCAAGATCAGTGTCAGCAAAAACAAAAAAGATGCATAGGAGTCTTCACCTTTGGACAAAATGATAAATAATTAGAAACTCTCCTCCTCTTCACTTGGTGAAAAATAATTATAAACCAAATCTAGTTTTATCTAGTCATACAAATAACAATGATAATGTCATTAACTTTCGGTGTAGTTCTTTCCCTATGTTTTTAGTTCCCTGCCTAGAAAGTCTCTGACATGGACATCTAAAATGTGCCGAAAATCTAAGGAGATTTTAGCCATTTTAATTAAATATCATAATAATTTGCAGGTCCTATGGATGTAACTGGGGAAACTATGTGTACTGCAGTGCCCACAGGTACCATGTGCTGACTGTGGGCTTCTTTGCTGATCCTCAAAAGTTTTTGATGATGGTCCTCATTAAGGAAAAGTCTGTGAACTCCTGCCCTAAGAGCTCAAAGAACTTCACATTTATTTGCTTGCTTGCTTGTTTGTTTGTATAGAAATAGTGGAACAAAATAGTCTAATATGCATCCAACCAGCCATGTCTTCTGCCAGGATACCCCAATCCATTGTCTCTCTCCTTCCCCCCAAAAGTCAGTCTGCATTTCCTGACCCGTGTGAACTCCCCAAGTACTAAATGGTTTCCAAAGTGTCTGAAACCTGTTACGTATTACCCAACAGAGTTAGGATCTGCTAAATAACAGCAAAAACCAATAGTTCTTAACAGACCATTCATCTGCAATGGGATCTAATATTAAATTAAGCACCATAAATAGTACATTTGAAAAACACCCATTTATTACTATTCAGAGTTTGAAAGAAAACAGTGTGAATACTGCCCAGAGTTGTTGGGAATTGGGTGGTGTACAAATTGAGCAAAATGAATAAATGCAACACTTGAAAAAATCAAGTTTATCTTGGATGTCATAGTAATACAATCTAGGTGCAGTTTATCGTTGAAGGGCCAGAGCTATGTAAACCTAAAGCTATTCCCACTGTAGAAATCGAGTTCCTCAAATGACATGATTCACTTGTGCATACTCTACCCAGCAACAGGCCTGGTCTGCCTGTCTTCCATTCATTCCCCATTTACATGAGTTGTCTCAAACTGTAAATAGGACAGGGGCAAAAATATTTATTAGTTTGAGGATATGTACTACTCTTGTATCTTATGCTTGAGCTAGACAGTAAAAACATTACTCTTTTCATTCAAAATATAGGCTGGGTTCATACCTCATGGTATTCATAGCTTACTTTAATCATTGTCCTAGTGGCTTCGTTCGCCCATTGCTCTGTAATTTAAAAGCCACAATGATTTGTGATCATGTTTTAGAGACCACAGTGGCTGAATTCATACATAATGCTGAGTCAAAACCAAATTAGAAAATGCATGAAGTAGTGTCTAGTGCCTCAAGCCATTTTATAAAAGTGGACATCTTGGTTGAGATTTCTAAACAAATATTGTATTAATGTCTTTCAGAAGATCAAGAATATTAGCTTACAGAAATGAGACTGGTAGTCCTCACTTAGCAACCACAATTGGGACTGGCAACTCCATCGCTAAGTGACACGATTGCTAAGTGAAATATCACGTGACTGTGACAGACTTACCTCACTTCCCATTTGGCTATTAAGCAAGTTATCACATGACTGCAACTTGCGATTTTACTGCCAGCTTCTCCATTGACTTGTTTGTTGAAAGCCAGTTGTGAAGTACGCAAATGGCAATCATGTGTCTATAGGATGCTGTGATAGTCATAAATGCCCACTGGTTGCAAAGTGCCCGAATGTCAATTATGTCACCGCAGGGATGCTGCCACGGTCATAACTGTGAGGACCGGTCATAAAGTTACTTTTTCAGTGCCATCGTAACTTCAAACAATTGCTAAACAGGGCAGTCATTAAACGATGTCTACCTGTAGAGCAAATCTCACCAATAGATAAGATGTGAGAGTTTACTGTATCTCTTTGCTACCATCTTGTTCTCGTCTGGATTTTTGCAGCCCAGATGCCAGCAGAATGGAATGGAAAAACACCACCCTTGATTTTCTCAGGAAATCACCACTGGAAATAAATATGGTAGCATCAAAACCCCAAACAGCACTGATGACCACCAACCTTTGGTAGGAAATGGCACTAAAAGAATTCTCTCTCTCTCCTTTTGTTCCTCCATAAACAGGAAGAGGATAAGAGGTGGAAGAGAGCAGCAGGCCCACTTACTGCTGCTGCTGTTGAGGTGATTGGTGGTAGGAGTGGCAACCACCGCATTTGAGGCTCTTCCTCCCCTTGTTCTCACCTTCTGTCTGTACCACTCTTCTTCTGCTAGGGCTCCCTGCTCTTGTGCAGCAAAACTCCAGAGGACCACTTAGACAGGGCAGTAAAAGACATGAGAAAACCCAACTTCTTTCCTGCTGTCTAGTGGCTGTCCAGATTTTTGCAGCCCAGATATGGAAGCCTTGACCTGTGGGATCAGGTTTGTTAAAGGCATTGGATAAGAATTGGGTGACAAGGGCGAGCCCCTATCCTTGCATGCCACAAGGTAGGAGCCTCCCTTGCCTTCACTACATTTAGACCATTGCACTAGATCTGCATGAAGTCTGCTGGCCTAGTGATTTACATTTAGATGTAGGAATAAAACAGTCTCTTTGGATGCAGTCTTTCTCTATAGGTTGTTGTGAGGTTAAAATGCATTTTTCAGATTCTTAAAAAAGGATGAAAATTCACATATAGCCAAAAAGGGTGTTAAAAAAAGTGATTTATGAGCCAGAAAAGAGTGGAGAGCTTCCATGTTTTTTTTAAAGAGTGACTGGAGCTCTTATCTGGCTGAAACTTGTATGCTGTAATATATATATATATATA